ATCTATCTATCTATCTATCTATCTATCTATCTATCTATCTATCTATCCATCTATCCATCTATCCATCTATCCATCTATCCATCCATCCATCCATCCGTCTGATGGAATCCAGGCATCAGTGTAAGTCAGTTCACCTGATCTATTTCCTGTGATACATGTTGATATTTTAACGTTCTGTGATGATCAGAACCATCCAGCCTCACAGCATCTCATGCGGCCCCCATGTGTCCGGCTAACGGCCCCCCTCCCCTAGAGTCTTGGCGCTGATACAAAGTGAAGCGAGTCCGCTGCATAAATCATCAGCCATTTACAAAATGACTTGATGCCGTGGCAGCTTTAATCTTTACCGAGAAAGGCTGTCCAACAACTCGAGGGGGGTCCTGCGTTTGTGTGTGTGTGCGCCTGCATCGCTGAGAGCATCAAAAAGACGGAAAAACAAGAACACAAGCATAAGTGCGTTGCTATGGCACCCACAACCACTGTGATTTCCACGCCAATGTGCTGCGTTGCTATGGTGACGGTAATCTCGCAGAGGGTGGGAAAGAGACAACTGAAAGAGAGAGAGGTGGGATATGAAGGGGGGTAAAAAAAGGAAGGGGATGGGTATTACTACTACACCGCAACACTTACAGTAAAGCATGGCCCCCCCACCCCCCTACCACCCGCCTTCATCTGTCAGCTGTTCTGACCTTCTTCTGTTAGGACCAACAAAACTGCACAGACCCACACAAACCCTGATGTGAAGCATTTGTGTGTATGAAAAGATGAAGTCCTGTTGAGCCTGTCAGTGTTCTGTCTGGTACAGCAGCCGTACTGTACAGGCGGTAAATTAAAATTCAAACTGCAGCAGCTGTCTCCACCTGTCAAATAAAACCTACTGACGGTTACTGAACGTACAGCTCTGTAGCTACGCCCCCTCGCTTACCGGTTTATATTTCCGAAGCATCAAAGTGTCTGGGTGTACGTGAGGAAAACTCCCCAAACCCAAACAATAAATCAGGGCGACACGTTCGCTCCACGGCCCGACACAGATAGGGTTTTTTAGCGCATGTTCTGCTGTGAATAATACAGGAGCCGTGTGAAATATTGATAAGTCCGTTTTAATAAATTAACCTCAACATCAATTAGTCATGAATTACACTCCTTGGCAATTACTGTAGTATTGGATTTGTGGAGGAAAAATCTATATGAGGGTTGAAAACAGAACCCATGTGGCACTGATGAAGGAAGGAAGAGAAACAAACGGAGGTTTTTAAAGGATACGCACCCAGGGAGCAGAGTGTGAAGGGACCGGAGGTGTGAATTTGTTTTCTGTAAGCGTGTTTGTATTTACATGTGTGGAGCTGCAAACCATGCATAACCACACAAAGATGGCTACGACACAGTAGAAATACGTTTTACCGTAGAGTTTGGGTGTATCACTCTCCAAACCAAACATATTTCTGCCTTTTTGAAAGTAGAGTTAAAACACGTAGTTTCTAAAAAAAATTTTTTTTTAAAGAGTGGAAAAGAAGGAGTAGGTGAAAATATCAACTGATTTGATTTATTTTTGACAAATGACGCATAGCACTGAATTCAAAGCACTTCAACAGATTGGAGGCAGAGTGGAAACTTCAGCTGATGCTCTTCTTTTTATATATTTTTTCAATGATTTTTAAAAAATGCATCGCAAATTAAAACCTATGCATTAATAAACAAATCAAAATCTTTGTAAGCCTGCAGTAAAAATAAGAGGTGCAGAAACAACATTACTAATAATGCAAACAAAGGGTAAGTATAAGAACCAGCAATGGCTGTACTTGCTGAAGATATAAAGCTCACCGTCTTTAACGCCAGAGATTTAAACCAATATACTTTTGATAAGAAGGGACAGCGTTACAGCCGTTTTGGTCCAACTTTGAAAAAGACATTTTGTGTGATCTCTGAGTTTGTTGTGAATGACTCTCAGCATCTACCACACCAAATTTTACTTCAATATTTGTAAAACTGACTGAGGTGTAGCCATTTTTGTGCTCTCTATAAGGTCAGTTAACCGCGGCACAGTTAGAAAATGTCTTTTAATTAACCCACAAAGTCCATGATCAATAATCCAGGTATACAATACAACAATTTTTAGTCAGGTCATCTGGACAGTTTCTTTTTTTGTTAGTTTTTTTGGTTTGTGCTGAAACGTTTCAGCTTCCATCCAGAAGGCTTCATCAGTCAATGAAACACACAACTCAAAACTGATTCTTCCCCTAACAGCTTACTCCAAAGTGGAACAAACCAGTTATGTTGGTGCTAAGATGGTCTCTTTGGCACACCCCCCTCCTCCAGTGCCGACCCTCTTCCTCGTCGACAGTCATGTCAAACTGGTTCAAAACCAACAAAGTCCATGCTCAATAATCCAGGTAAACAATCCAACAATTTTCAGTCAGGTCTTTTAATTAAGTACGCAGAAGTCCAGAATTGAAGTTCGACAAACATGGATTTAAAATACAAGCAAGGGGAGTGAGAGATTGCCCTTACATCCAAACGAATGACACCCTCAAAACCAACACAAAGTGTCGTCCTTACAGTAACAAGCAATCAGCACAAAGATATAATTTACACATACCCAGCATCCAAGAAGGAGGATTTTTTCCCTTATCTGAAGCCACTGTCTCCACAGGTCAAACAACTGGGAGACACTTCACCTTTTCTCAGACAGTTTGGCTTGTCTGCTGAAAAGTACCTTTTATAAAGGCAGACGTAAGCGATATGTGGCCAAGTGACCCTTGGACAATCTCAAGCCATCTCCAAACATTTTAACTAAAAAGAAAACATTTTAAAAAATTTTGATAAAAAACAGTTTTATCATTGAAACTTCAAGAAGTTTAAATAAACATTTTGGACAAGACCATGTCTAAGTCAGAATTTTTTTTTTTTTTTAAGTTGTGTTTCCACAAATAAACTTTAAGACTCCAAAAAGCAAACATAACTTTATTTTTTATAGGCTAATAAATTGTCACAAGAGCCAATTTACAGAAAATGTGACTTGTATTCCTACAGGGTACGGAGGAAACATACAGTATATACCGCTATGTTTTTCATTCAACCTTTATTTATTCAGGTTAGTCTCATTGAGTCTTGAGGACTCATTTACAAGAGAGTTCTGATTTTAACAA